CATGCCTGTCCAAAAAGGCAACTTGAGGTAAGTTTTATTAATGTTGGATAAGTTTGAAAGTTAGAATTAAATTCTGCTAACACAAAACATATTTCTTTTTATTCCTAGTTTTAAAGTGGATATTAAAGTGATTAATTTAAGTGATTGTTTAACATTATTTTATATTTTTTTAAATAAGGGGCAGATAAAAGAATTATTTTTCTTCTTGCTGCACTCTTTTCATTCAATGTTTTCTTTTTGATTTTTTTATTATTATTTTGTTTCTTTTAAATGAATGAATAAATGAATTTAAAAAAATAAAATGTTAAAAGGCTTCAAACACCTGGCATAAACCAACAGGCATGTTCCTGTTTTTAGTATTTTACATCACTTTATAATGTAGATGTTTTTGTTTTTAATATAATTTTCAAATCATATGTTTTTCATGATTGTCTACTGTTGTACTGATAAATATCTCCTGGAGGGTAAACTATATCTTAGCTGCAAGTAACAAGCTGTGAAATCTTTCATTTTCTACACCTGATAGTGGTTGGTCATGAATCATGATAAAGTTTAGCAACTTCTCTGTAAATGTTTGAACTCCGTGGCTTCAGCGATGTCTTCTTCTTGTTCAATCCGAAGCAGGCAGCCTGATTTGGGGCAGCTGCGCTTAAGTCTGTCCCTCCTCAGAGATGGGCAGATTGGACGCGGCTGGCCGGGGTCGAGTCGCCTGTTGTGGGTTGAGCAAAGAGCAGCGCCCCGCTGAAGCCACGGAGCTCGAATGGCCATCGTAAAACTAACTTTACCGTGGTTTTTAAGGCTGGCTGCTCATATCATCACAGTCCCTGTGACCCACATCTTCAAGGAATAAATGCACAACTGCTGTCAAAGCAGCAAAATGCAACTATTTCTTATCTCAGACCTCCAAAAATCTAAATGACCCTAACAGATTCTGGAAAACCATCAAATGACATGTTAAGATGAAAAGTTGGTTAGCTGTTAGCCACAGTGCTGCTAACTCAGTCCTCACGTTGTAGCTGGCTGCAAACTATGAACTGGATTTCCTGAATGTGAGGCGGGTCTTACTACTCTGGGTTCATGAGACACGTCGCCGTTCAGGAAATCCATTCCATAGTTTGAAGCCAACGTGCATCATGGATCGGAAATATCGGCAGGTGAATCAGAAAAATCCGATACGTAAATTATGCTGGTATCGGAGGCCGATACCAATACTGGATCGGATTGGCCCCATCCCTAGTTCTGTCTTTGATCAGCTGACTCTGTTCTTGGTCCATGGACTGTGGAACTCAAGAGGCAGTTTAGCTGCGCATGTTTGTACCGGCAGTTTAGAGCGGGGGAGATGCAGCCCGCACCGGCAGTCCAGAGCCAGATGGGGAGAAAAAAAAAACGAGTGGCAGCTTAGAGCGAGGGGAAGGGAGAGACAGTTGAGTAAAAAGACAGTTCGGTAGGCAAGGCGCCCTCCTTGTATAACGGTACGAGAAACAATGGGGTTAAAGACCTTGCTCAAAGGCTCAGAGTGAGGCAAATGAGGGTGGAGACAGGTGTGGGTGTTTCACCTTTTCCACCCACATTTTGTTTTGACCTAGGATGACTGTCAGAAGAGAAATCCTCCCCCCATCTGTATCAACTAGCTTAGTTATCAGCGCGTCCCAAGCGCCATTGCAAAAAAATTAATTTCTCAAAAAAGAAAAAAAAAAATTAAGGAAAATTATTCTCTTAAATTTATACATGCTATATAATACCTTGAAGTAAATTGAAATTTAAATATAATAAAAAAGAGCAAATGTTAAACAAAATGTGAACAGCGTAAACTATGAACATTTATACCCTTCACTTCCTCCAGTGCAATCCACAACCACACCATTGTGTAAAACAAATTATGTACTGGACAGGATGTTCTGTAGAAGGGCTGTGGCAGGGGTGAATATGGGACAAGTCCAATGAAAAGTAGAAACCTCTCTACTCCATATTTTAATATTTTGTCTTGCCGACTATCTGCTGTGAGAGGCTCCAGCCTCCCGCAACACTGAACAAGATAAACCAACTACAGAAAATGAATAAATAAATGATAGCATATGTGGCATCTTCTCTGAATGAACACTAGCTCAGTGCAGAATGCTGCTGCAAAGACACTTCAGTATCAGATGTTCCCTTGAGCAACAAACTCGATCACAGTCAGAACACATCAGTTAAACATCCAAGAACATCTGGAAGAAACTCTACAGAAAGCAAAATCACCAGTGAATATTACAACGACATTACGACTGCTGATGAAGACTTTTTTAATTTTATTTCTCAGTTTCTGTCATCATGACAATACTTTCAGTGTGCTTCAGCGTCTCAGACACTATCAGATCAAGTTTGACATAAACAGTGAAGATCTATCTGAAAAACCACATATTACTTCAGAGCGTGAATGCACTGTAGCTAAAGATAGAAAACCTACCATTTACTGCAGTCTAAGCAGCCCCTTGCACTACCGACAATAATTGTAAGTGTCTGACAAAATGTGGAGTCCTCATTCTCAGCAAGATTTTGCAGCGAATGACCAAAACAATCGTACAGATTTAGCTTCATACCATGGTAAAAAGATTAACATATACAGATGCTTTCATTTAGCATCACAACATATGCCAACAAGGACTCAGTTTGCCCCCTTACACCACTTGTTGCTATTTTGTGAGCCAGCACAAGGTAGATTAAAAAAACTAAGAGCAAACATTTGTTTACACCACCTTGTTACAAGTACACACTTTAGGTGTACCTTGGCTGCAAACTGAAGCTACTGGGACGAGAAACTAACAGTTTCATTTCAGAAATAACAGTTCATCTTAAAATTATTGTAACTTTAAAACCTCAAATGCCCAAAATGCTGCTGCCAGAGTCTTAACTGGAGTTAGTAGGAGAGATCCTATCTCTCCAGTTTTAGCTCCTCTCCATTGGCTCCCTGTTAAGTCCAGAATTGAATTAAAAATCTTACTTCTAACCTACAACGTTCTCAACAACCTAGCTCCATCTTATATTACAGATCTTATTGTTCCATATTTTACTAGCAGAGCACTTCGCTCTCAGACTGCAGGCTTACTCGTGGTTCCTAGACTTTCCAAAAGCAGAATGGGAGGAAGATTTTTCAGTTATCAGGCTCCTCTCTTGTGGAACCAACTTTCAGTTTTTGTCCGTGAGGCTGACACATTATCCAGTTTTAAGACTGGGCTTAAGACTTTCCTTTTTGATAAATCCTATATTTAGGGTTGGCTTGTTATACTGTCATAAGCTTAGACTACTGGAGGACAAATTGACCTAATTTCCAAATGAATTGTTAAAATTGAATAGTTTTCATTTGATATTCTTTCTATCTTAACATGTGATTCTTGACCTGCCATTGTGTATCTGTTCCTCTCAAACCCAGCCGTTCGAAGCAGATGTTCGCTTGTCCTGAGCCTGGTTTTGCTAAAGGTTTCTTCTTCAAGAGGAAATTTTCCTTTCCACTGTCACCTTTGTGCTTGCTCAAGATAAGAGTTCTGCGATGGAGTTGTTTACTTTAAAAAAATTATGTCTGTTTGGATCCCCAAAGTACAGTGTCCACAGTCCCTAAAACAGCGAGCTACAGAAGCAACAAGTCTTTTTGGGACCAGAATGAAGAAAATCTTATTTCATCGAGTGCTGGGGTGGAGTTAGGATTGTCAGTGTTCAACTAAAACCACAACATCTTGCCTTAGTAAAGCATTTAGTTTACCTTATTCAACCAACAATTATTTAAGAAGCACCAGTACTTCAAGATGGACTACAAGAACACTAGAACACTGCCAACAACAAATACACAGTTATTCAACAAGACAAATCGGATTGTTTTCCAAGTAAATATTGTAATTTTTACAAACCCATGCCAGAAATTATTAATCTAAATCAAACAAAAAGACAGTAATACCCAATAATCATCATCGTAGTGTAACTTGTTCAACCAGATAAATATTCTTTCAGTTGACGAATCTATTCAGCATCTGTGCTCTAATTTGAAACCAGTTTTTCTTGAAATCTAAAAAACAACAACTACTGATTATGGTCTCATGGAGGCCTCGTCATTTTCGTACAAATATTTTATATGAATTTGTTGGGTATTTGATCAATATAAAACAACTTAAATCTAGTAAGAAGAGCCTAATCATTGTGGATATTGGTTTATCATGTAGAGAAATGGGATAGAAAGCCTAATATTACACAAATGGAAAACTTCTGCATAAAGTTGGATTTGTAAATTATGTTGAATTTCCATGGTCAGTCCTTTGCAGAATATTCTTGCACATCTTTAGGAAAATAACCATAACAAAATAAGAAAATCTTGTAAAATGTGTTAGACTGTTACGTGCACGCGACTCGTGAATCAAATATAGCAGAAACAGCCGACAAAATTTGCTGCAAACTCAGTTTGTGCAACAATAAAAACTCCCAGCACTCTGATAACTCACCATTACAAACATCACACAACTACTGTTCTTCTAAGTCTGGCCACATCACAGCTTTCAAGCAAACACAATAAAGTACCATTCTTCTAGAGTTATACTTTAACTGTGTTTGTATTTTATTGTATATAAACCGTTAACACAGGGCTATTCAACAAAACTGCTCAGGGGGCCAGTTTCTGAAAGTGAGCAGCTCAGGGGCTGGACATCCAGTCGTTAAAGTCATTACGAAAATGAACCAAGTATTACAATGATCTGTTACCTTTTAAATTTGATTGTTTTATTGCAATAAACCACAAATGCAATAAACAGACCCCCCCCCCATATTTTTAATGAACTCATTGGTGGGCTGAACTGAAGTCAGCCACGGGTCAGAAATGGCCCATGGGCCGCCAGTTGAATAGCCCTGCATTAACATTTTATACTTCCAAGAATGTTAATTCTTAGTCCTTTAAAGATAATTACACCAAGAACACTCAAAATACTTAAAAATACACAATACTAACAAACACACTGTACATACACATGTTTTGGGTTTACCTGGTTCTTTTTGTTTCGTCTCCGTCGAACCAAGGTCTTGTAGTTTTGGTTCTTTTTGGTCAAGTAGTAGAACAGGACACAATCAGAAACACACTGAAAAAGAAACAACACGTGTAAGGATTTGCATGTATTTTAATAGTTCATTACCATCTAGATGGGTCACTTAGAGCTTTATTTATACACAATTTAGAAGCAATATTATGAATTCCTAGTTTTCTCATTTAGTTTTTCTTTACTTTCCACATTTATCATTTCTGTAATAGGTAACTGAGGCATCTGAACAAAATAAGTTGCTCTAAAAATTTACTAAAGCTTAAATAACATATTTTTTGTTGTATAAGTCACAGCTTTTTGCATAAATTAGCATGCCCTGCGACTTATACAGTGAAGCATTTGTTTATGTTTTTTACCATATTTATAACCCAATTTTTAGCTGAGATCTGACTATTTCATTCATTCTGACATGCAAAATATTAACCACCATCATTTTCAGCCACTAAAGGGTCCTCAACTAATATGGCAAGTCAAGTGCCTCATTAATAGGTAAAAGTGGCTATTAATGAGACACTTGGCTTGCCATACCAAACCACCTTTGTCTCGCTCCGGAATTCCTGGAGCAAACGTCAAATCAGCTGCGTTTCGCCGCGTCGCCCAGGAAAAATGCAGCTGATTTGACCATTAAACTACATTTATTAAGGAAAAGTTAAAATTGAGAGACACCTTTATGTTGAGCAAACAAATAATTGTTTTTAGGTGGTTATCTTGTTAAATTTCAAAGAAATGCACAGTGAGTCCTAGAGGTGTCACTTCTAACCTGAGCCCTAAGCCGGGCCGGGTGGGCTGGGCCATGATAGTGTGCTGGGTGGGCGGGCCGGGTTGGTGTCAGGTTTTTAATTGGGTCAGGATCAGCCGTGATCCAATTATATGATAACATGGCCTGCCATACAATCACCAGCTGCATGTGGCCATTTCACCTCGAGCTGACCAGACTTGAAAGAGGTAAAAAGTTCAGTTAAGCTTCAGATGGGACTGTACTGCCAGGAAGCGACCCATCGCCCAAATGAACGTTCATTCTGCCGCTGCACTCAGTGGATGCGCGCAGCCGACGACCCAAACAGGTGAGATCACAAAGCAGACGTGTTAAAGAGCTAGGTGAAGCTGACACCCCACCCACATCAAAAATTCCAGCCAGAGCTGTCCACGTGTCTGAGTAATTCAGAAGAATGCAGGCAAAAACAGGGTTTAAATGCTCTTTAAGGCCATGAAAAGACAAACACCCCCATTCAGCCGCGCGTCTCCGACCGTTAATAGCGCATTAAAAATGATGAGTTTTTTTCCGGGTTCAGACCTGTAATTACTGTTAATTTGTTGGGTCGGGTGGGGTTCAGAAATGATGACTGTGGGTTGGGGCCGGGTCAGATTTTTTGGGCCCGAATGCAACTCTAGTGAGTCGTCCCTCTGCGCACACCCACTGCCGCAAATCGGGTTTTGAAATGCAGCTCATTTGACCGTCAAAGTGCATTTATTAAGGAAAAGTTAAACTGAAACACACCTTTGTTATAATGCCGAGCAAACAAATAAATGTTTTTAAGTGTTAATCTTGTTAAATTCTTGTTAAAGTCCTCCCATGAACGCTCCCGCGGCCACCATTTGGCAGCCAATTGATTTTTGGTACAACACCGGCCCACGTTTCCGGGTGGTCAGCGGTGATGCATAATAGATGCGACGTATACAGCGAAGCATTAGTTCATAGTCTTAGTTCATATCTTAGATGCTATTACTGTTTTTCTTTTACATTTTATTGTTGGATGTAACTGGGACACCGTGTACATAATTTTGTACAATTTTAATTAAATAATTTTGTGTGTGTGTGG